ATGACGACTTCATTGTTTATTATTTTTCTAGTTGCTTCAGCTGGAGACTTCATTGGGGACCCTAAGTGAGTCAGTCCTAACTCTTTTTTGTTTATATTCATTGGGTGTTTATCTTTATGCTCTACTTGTTTATTTTATTGTATGCATTGCATTTTATTGCTTTCCATATGATGGATGTTGCTGCTATGCTGGATATTGTATTTTTTGTGTTCTCTTGGTGGGTGGGATGTTACTATGAGGTAAAATGTCCAATACTCAGGCCAGAGAGATACACTTAGGATCACATAGGACTAGAGTGGAGTCATGACAACTATTGTATGAAGATCCTACTAGTGAGGTTGTGTGTGCCACGCACAAACAAGGTTCATTATGGGATGCTACCGTTATGTACGTTCGGTGTTACGATGGTAGTATTTTCACATGGACTCAAGAATATGTGGACCTTTTGACCTTACCTAAACTAGAATCAACATGTGAGTTAGGGTGGGAATTATTATTACAAGTACAAATGTTGATCTTCATGGTACTTGATTCCTTTGAGTTCTGATTTGGTGTCAGACCTTTGATCTTATGACATTCAGATTATTTAGAAAAGTGCATCATATATCCATTTTTATGGAACCTTGATCCCATTTATTGCATTTGCATCATGGAATTCAAAAAAAAGATATATATGGAAAAAGAGATAACTTGCATATGCATGTTGTTTCCAGGGTATCCTAAAGTCATTATCTTCATCAATAATGTCAGGAAACATATAGGCGGGCAAGAAGCTCACCAGAGACACTTTCACTTACAAGTTCCATCCTGTTGATTTGTCACTCTTGAGAGGGGAGGGTGCTCGTGTGGTTAACCAGATTGAGGAAGTTTTCAGCAAAGGAATGATAATCTCATATCCTTGTTGAATACTAAAATTGATATGTGGGGCCTTCAAACACTCTTAAGATTCTATGACCCACATCTGTGATGCTTCACCTTTCAAGTCTATCAACTGGCTCTGACTCTTGAAGAGTATGCTTATCTTCTCAGAGTTGAGGTTAAGAATCATATTTCCTTTGTCTGTGTACCTGAGACTCCTGAGTTTGGGATTATTGTTAACGATATTTATTTGAGCATTAGTGATATAAAGGATAATCTGAAGCACAAGAGTGACACATGCAGACTTCCTTTGAGGTTTCTAGCAAATAAAGCACAACATTTATAGTGAAAATTAGGCTGCTTTTAATGCACTATTGGCTGCCATGATCTATGGCATAGTCCTCTTTACCAATGTAGAAAATCTCATGGATTTGGCTGCCATATCTATTTTTATGAATGGAAATCCAGTACCAACTTTACTTGTTGATGCTTACTTTTCAATCCATTCCAGGCATATGAAGAAAGGAGTTGTCGTTTTTTGCCTTCCTTTATTATACAAATGGTTCATGTCGCACATGCATGTAAATGGACCTTATATAGACACCAGTATTTCTCTCTGATAGTCCCAAAGACTTGTGGCGTTTACCTCTTTTGACGTGATTTGGTATAGCATGATGGGTGGTGGAGAAGACATTTCCAGTTGTGGAGGGTTTCCTAATGTTCCTCTCATGGGGACAAAGGGTTGCATTAATTATAATCCCATGTTGGCTCTTTGTCAGTTGGGGTTTGTTTTGAAGGACAAACCTACAAATAGGGAGATAGAAGTATATGTGTTCTTTAGTAAAAGAAAGGATCCTAATATGCTAGAGAAGGTGAAAGTTGCTTGGAGGAAGGTTCACAAGAAGGGGAAAATCTTCTTTGGTCAGAGGTGGTGTAGAGCTGAGAATATTTTGTTTCCTTTAAAAAGGGAAGATTCACTGTATCCATAACTATCTTTTGATCAACCAGCCTCCATTCAACCATCATCAGATCCATCCTCTGACCAACCACCTCCTAATGCACAATCTCTTGATCAAACCTCTCTAGATGTATCAGAATTCGTACCTATGGAGTACTACAACCAGTTTAAAGCTATGAACCTTCGACTTTGTCAAGATAATCATGATGTGGGGATGCAGCTTTTTGTGGCTACTTAAGAAAAATGTCAGTTAGCTCACAAGCTCAAGCATATAGAGAAAGGAAAATTTGGGGTAGTAGGAGCCAAGAAGAAACCAAGGGTTGATAATGGCCTGAAGAAAACCCTTGAAGATCAGAAGAAGGCTTTAGACAAAGGTGAAAGAGATCATTAAAAGAAGCATTAAGAATATGAAAGTCTTTTAGCGTCCAATAAGGAGATGAAAGCGAAACATAGAGCAGAGAATGAAGCCTTGAAGAAGCAACTGCAAGATCAAGAAGCCAGAAACAATGAGTTCTTTGGTCAGAAGAATAGATTGGAACTCAATCTCCAAATTCGCCAAAGTCGGCTGGGTAGGATGGCCGAGGAAAATCAAAGGCTCAAGGTTCAAGTCGAAGATAAAGGCAAGGCTCCTATGAAGGTACAACTTGTAGAGTGCGATGAATATGATCAGCTGGTATAAAATAGTTGTTACTTGGAGAGCATGATCTACATGAAGGATATCCTTACTTTAGGATTGATTTAGAAGCCAACTCAGAAAGATACCAAGAAGTTGTTTGAAGAATCCAAAGCTTGGAGTCAACAACACTTGGGAGGGGGGCCCTTAACCCATGTGGAGATGGAAGATGCCTCTCAGTGACATATTTTCTTGTTGTTTTGTGATCACCACCAGACATGTTGGTTGGGATATCTACCTTTCATTTCTTTATCTATGGTTTTTATGTACAAAATCAGTTGAGAACTATTTGTTTGGATGTTGTGAATGAATGAGCAATTTGTTTGATATGATTCCTCTGTTTATTGCCTTTATTGTATCTTGTTGCTTTTTATTCTTAATGAATATAAAAACTTTAGGATCCCCTGGGAATGGTAAAACATTACATGCATACCATACCCTCATAACACATCATGCATGGCATGTTATTCAAGTTGGTATTCTTATTCAGATATTACAAATCCTAACTTTCACCGGTATGCTACGAGAGGTAACCCGAGACGTCTAATGGAGCAACTACAAGCTAACATGGTTGCCATGAAGAACATGATGAACACCCACGTGGCACAACTAATGGACATTATTCAGAACATGGCCCAAGGTCAAGAAGAGTTGAGAGCTCTGGTTAACAGGCCTATTATTGTGATCATTGACAATGGGGTTGAAGGTCAGAATCCTTTTGGTGGTAATCAAGGTCAGAATCCTCCTGATGGTAGTCAAGGTAATCCTATTGGTGGTAATCAAGGTAATCCTCCTGGAAATTAAGACATTCCTACTGGTGTCAATCTGAATCATGTCATTGACATTCCTCCCCCACCACCTCCTCCGTATCTGACTCATGAGCAGCTGTTGGCTCAGCAACAATTGAGAAGGATCGCCCAGACCCCTGTGCAACAAATAGATGAGGACAATTATGATTATCTCCACTCTTTTAGTATGATGAACCCATTGAGGCAAACATGAAGCTCTGCATAATTAGAAGAAAGGATGAGGGCTATGGAAAGATAAAGAGCTTTAGGGTTAGACATTGATGACTTAGGTCTGGTTCCAGGAGTAAGAATTCTCCCCAAATTCAAGACACCTGATTTCATTAAGTACAAGGGCACTACCTTTCCTAAGACTCACATTAAGTCTTACTAATGGAAAATATATGTGTATTTTGATGATGAAAAGCTGCTTATGCGCTTCTTTCAAGATAGTCTGACCGAGGAATCTCTTGAGTGGTACATGCAATTGGAAAGGACCCATATTCAAAGCTGGAGGGATTTGGCAGAGGCCTTTGTGAAGCATTACCAGTATAACAGTGATATGGCCCCGAATCGTACTCCGTTACAAAACCTGACTCATGGGCAAAATGAATATTTCAAAGAGTATGTGCAGAAACGACGCGAGCTTGCAGCCATGGTTCAACCTCCAATGATGGAGAGAGAATTGATGGACATTTTCATGAGGACTATGCAGGGTCCTTATTATGATTGTTTGACTGGAAATACTTCCAGAGGTTTTTCTGAGTTAGTAATGGCTGGAGAAAGGATCGAGGTTGGTTGGTAGGATCCAAATTGTGATGCTACTGGTTCTTCCGAGAAAAAGCCTTTCAATGGATATCCAAAAAAGAAAGAAGGTGATAATGGAGTGTGGTTGAAAGAAAAAAAAAACTATATAAAGAGATAGAACTTAGAAGTTTACATGGTGGTAAAAATTTTTTTTTTTTTTTGTGAAAGGAAAATATTGTAAGTAACATGTTAAACTTAGAAAAACAATTTTATACTATTGAAGCATGTAATTTTACAAAAACCAACTTCGAATTTTTAGTTCAGACAATTTAGAATTGTTCAATTCAACTTTTTCAATTTCACTTTGATTTTAATTCACTAATAATTTTTTAAAGTTTATTGAACCAAATTCAATTCCGATCTCGGTCTCATCGATTGAACTAATTATTCAATCTAATTTTTAAAACATTACCTAAAACAAATACCTCTCTTATATTTTGCAGGTCCCACACACTTCATGTAAAATATTCTGTTATAAGAGAGATCTATATATACAAAAACTTAAAAATAAAATAATAAACTGATAAAAAAAGTATAAGAAAAATGAATATTTCACATACGTATTATTGAATTGTAATTTTAAAAATATTTGACAGGTTGGATGTAAATTTGACTTTTGAATTTTCTATGTCATATAAGATATATGATGTGACAAAATAAATAAATATTTTTTTTAAAATGTTAATTATAATGGCTTATCATTTTAAAGTCGTTTTCAAGATAATTTAAACTTAGAAAAAGTTATTTTACACATGGCTTAATGATATAATGGACCACACCCAATGTAAATTGATTAGTTAAGTCTTAATATATATATATATATATATATATATATATATATATATATATATATATATATATATATATATATATATATATTAAACTATCTCTTGAATATCAAACTAGATCTTCAACAATCATGTCTACCTCATGTTTTGCTATGAGACCAATTTCTTCCATTTCTATGAAACCTTATAACTCAAAATCATCAATACTAAACACTTCATCCAAATCATCTCTTTTAAACTTCGCTTCACTCACAACAACAACAACACTCAACCTAAACAAGTCTTTTATTTGCAAAAGCCAAGATCAACCTTTATCCCAAACCAAACAAAGCCAAGCTGAACCATCTGAAACAGGTTCATCCCTGTTTTTTATTTATTCCAGATCTATGGAATTTACTTGTTAATTTCTATATTAACCCTTTTGATTTTTTTGGTTGAATTTTGTAGTAAAAGTTCAAGAGCTTTGTGTTTATGAGATTAATGAAAGAGATCGTGGAAGTCCTGCTTATCTTCCGTTTAGTAAAAAAGATGTGAATTCACTTGGTGATTTAGTTCCCTTTAGCAACAAGGTGAGTTAGTTATAATTACATACACATGTGAAAGTGTGGTGTTTATTTGCTTCATAGATTACTAAATAATCACTTTGTGTTGCGGAACTTGCAGTTGTACACAGGATGTTTACAAAAGCGCGTTGGGATAACAGCTGGAGTCTGCATTTTGATTCAAAACGTGGCTGAAAGAAAAGGGGACATGTATGAGGCAATATTCAGTTTTCACTTTGGAGACTATGGTCATATTTCTGTGCAAGGTTCTTATTTAACTTATGAGGATAGTTATTTGGCTGTCACTGGTGGAACTGGAATATTTGAAGGTGTGTTTGGTCAAGTGAAATTAAATCAAATTGTGTTTCCATTTAAGCTATTTTATACCTTTTATCTTAAAGGTATTAAGGATTTGCCTCATGAGCTTGTTGCTGAGCATGTTGAGCCTAGCCTAAGTGTTGAGCCTAGTCCAGCTGCTAAAGCCTGTGAGCCTCATGCTGTTATTGCTGGTTTCACCAACTAGTTAAAGAAAGATTGATGATTTTTGCATCCTCAAAATGAGTTTCAATGTACACATTCATATGTTTTGTGTTCTTATTGAGTTGTTATTGGAACCACTACGCTTTATTAATACAATGTAGCTCCACCACACAATTGCTCTATGGCGGATAAGATTATTCTTTGTGTGACAAGTCTATTTTGTATCAAAGCCTATATTATATGATTTAGAATTGTTTTCAATACATTTGGATTTTTTTTTATGATTTTATAAAATCGGTATATTTTTGTTTCATTGATCAGTAGAAAATCGAAACACCAAACATTAGAGTTATTCATATAAAACCATGAAAGAATTAAGGTATGCTAAATTTAGGATTCATGATTTGGGGTTATACTTGTTGGAGATTTTGTTATAAAATGATTAGGAATTCAATTTATCCTGAAACTCATACATGCGTTCAGAATCGGTTCAAGCCAACAGTGAATCTGCCATAGGTTAAAGATGGTACTGCAGTAGTTTGCAAAATCCACTCTCAGGCTTGAGAGAGTGAGAGAGCGCACAGATGATCTGTTTTTAATTTTGCTTTTTTGCCTTTACTCGAAAATATTTTTCTTATTTTTTTGTATACATTTCGAAAGAAAAAAATTTTATTGTGTGAATAATTTATATTTATTATTTCATGTTAATTTGATTATTCAATCATTCATACGATATTTACAATATCGAAAATGTATGTTAGAAAATGTCATATATTTGTAGTATTATATTTGTGAAAGTCCCAAAATAAAGGCGGTAAAAGAGTTCCCACCCTTTGAGGTGACGCCTGGGCGTTACCTTTGTGTAGTACAGGGGCTCACCTCCTAATAAAACACATGCACAATGACAATATCCCTCCACTATTTATGGAGATTTAGTCATACCATGACTTTCTGAAGAATAGATAGTCAACAATCTTCCCTAATCAAAGGGAGAACGTTTACCACCTCTTAGGATTTTCTAAGTCTTAGGCCCAAGGGTCTCTATAAATACTTCTCCCCTAACGAAAGAAATGGGAGATCATTCATACCCTAAGCACAACGCTTATGTACAGAGTCACTCACCCTCACGTGAGTTGATTCTCTAAAACCATCGTTGCAATACCCCAAAATAATTAGATTATTTATTTAATTATTTAATTTAATTATGATGAGTTTTTGCGATGTGTTTATGATCATCATGCTTTATATGATGTTTTGTGTGGCGTATGACGAAGTGGTAGGAATTAAGAGATATTGAGTATTTTAAATAATATTGGGATAATTAGAATAATTAGTTAAGAATTATTTTAATTAGTAAAATAAAATAGATATTGGTATTAGAGATGATAATGACAAAATAGTCAATTGTGATAGGTTAAGTGAGGACAAAGGTGGAAGATCATATTAGGGGTCCAAAGGTTAAACAAAGAATGAAGGAAAAGAGTCCCATTCTATACGATCGTAGAAAAAGAGAAGAACGTTGGGAAAAGTTAGGGCTCATAGAGAACAAAGAGATTTTTGGTAGAACGCGAAGAACGAGGGTCAATTGCTAAGAGATTATAAGGTAAGAGATGTTTATTGTTGCTATTATAATCGATCTAAGATTTATATGATTGTAGGTTGGTGTTTGGGATTTGTTAATGAGACTATCATGACGTTTGACGGTAAATTGATGAAATTAAGATGTTGATATGTAATGAATTGATGCATGAAATATATGTTATGATGTGTTGTTGTTATATGATGAAACTATGAGTAATTGTGGTGATTGAGACTTGTAATGTGAAGGAATCGTAGGAAATTGGGACTGGTGCAGTGCAGAAATCGCAACAATAGCATGGAGCTTCGCTCCGGGCGATGGAGCTTCGCCCCAGTAGCGCCAGGCGAGAAGGTGGTGATGGGTAGGGGTTAAAAACACATCCCCTGGATTTTGTATGGGGGTGATCCCTCGCTGGAGCATCGTCGGGCGACGTTGAGGCGAGGAAGGCAGCGTCGGGCGAGTAGGAGGTAGCATCGTGCAGTGGAGATCAAAAATGGAAAGTTGTGATATCGCTCGTACGTCACCGGACGAGCATCTGGCGATGGACAACAATAACATTTTAAAAGTGTCATTACTCGAGTTTCATGACTTCGATTGACGCGTCGTTCAAAGCGTTAGAAAGCTAACACGATGAACTATAGCTTAGTAGAATAAAATAGGACATAGGTAGTGTTTATCTAGTACCTAGGGTTTTTTTACAAACACATGGCCATTTACTTTTTTTTTATTCTTTTGATTTAATTAATTATTTTCTTTTCCTTTTTTATTTTCATTTGAAATCAGAAAGAAAAAAATTTATAAAATCATTAAAAAAATAGACTTAGAGTTTAATTAATTAATTTAATTTTTATAATTTAAATTTAATTTAACTTAAATCACTTTTTTTTATTAATTAGTTCACAAAAATAATGAAAAAATTAGATTTAGATTTTTAATTAGTTAATTTAATTTTTTGACAAAATAAAAATTAATTTCATTTGATCATTTTGCTTTATTTTATTAATTAATTTGTAAAATAATTACAATTAGGTTTTTTTTTATAATTATTTTATACTATCAAATAAAACACTAAAATATTTTCTAATACTTAGATTTCTTTAGGTTTTGTTTAATTTAATTTTCATAAATAAAGTTATTTACACTTTCTTTTATTTTAAACAATTAAATTTTAAATTATATTATAATTAGATCTAACATTTTATTTCACACTTCAAAATATTTTTTTAAACAAAAACAATGAAAATCTTTTCTTAACACTTAGAGATATTTTTAGGGTTTCTTAAACATTCTCCCCTTTTACCATTTTCGCGCATTTTATCTTTCGCCTTTATTTTCCAATTATTGTAATTGTTCAACTCTTGTAATAGACAAATTAGGGTTTATTACTTTTCTCCCCCATTCATAAACTTGTACCCCCATCCCCGAAGCATTGTAATAGCGTAGGACATTTAATTTCTGCAATTTACTGCTTTCCTTATTACTGTTAGTGGTTTTTATGGCAAGATAAAGAACAAACATTAGATAACCTAATCTCAAAGACAAAATACTTGAAATCAAAACACTTTGCACACGCGCACCTTTAGGGTAACTTCACTTGTTGCCTCGGATTAAAACAGTCATGTCCCTCGAATGTGAGATGCTATAGCAAAGATCTCAACATATTCATGCAACATCTGTATTAACATGTTCTTGATACCGTCTTCAAGGTTAACACATATCTTGACTTCTTTCCCGTCTGCCTCAGTACCCAAGTTTACAACCTCGACCGGCTCTTCATGCGGTTGTATAGCCTTTTCCTCTTGCACTAACAGTCTGGCAAGCTCTTCGGGTATTTCACAATATTCCTCACCTTTGTCCTTGTCTTGGTATATCAGATTTTCAAAGTCATAAGCGACAATAGAAGAATCGTTATCAACGAGATCCAAAGTGAATATGGATCTGCAATTTATCACGTGGGTGTGTGTAAGAACACATAGCTATTTGAAAGTGATAAAAATAAAAGAAAGGCAAAGAGCACAAAATTTGAATGCAAAATGTTCAATGCTTTTTTAAATGAAGATATGTTTATGAAATGACAACCCTTAACAAGTGGACCATTGTGCCCCGAGTAAGGCACAAGGCTTAAAGTCGTTGTTTAAATAAATTACATAATCAAAACTTTATAAGCAAAAAAAAAATAGAAAGTAGCTATTACTCCTGACTAAAGGAGATTGAGACAATGTCTTGAGCCTTCCAATTGCTGAGTCCATTGCCGATGGTCGGAAAGATCCAACTATCAAGGTCATAGTCACTATCAACATATTCTATGGCGTTGACTCCATTATTGCTGATGTGGAATGGTGGTCTCCCAGCCCGAGCACGACGAACAGCCTTCTGAGCCTCTGCAATGAAACTCAAACCAAATTTTTCAGATTTATATGGAATGTCAGGAAGCTGACCCCAAGTAGTACAACCACCTTCTTCTACAACAACTCTAGCATCTTTCAAAGAAGACATTATAGGAGGAACCCTGATAACCTTGGGGATAGCAGAAACATCTTCAGTAGAGGTTGGAGGGATAAATTCAAAAGTCTGACAAGGAGTCTCGATGAATTCTCCATCCATCTCAATATATATGAATGAGTTCAGGTGACTAACCATGTATTCTTCTTTGCCGCAGACTATAACAACATTTCCCCTCACGGGATACTTCAGCTTCTGGTGAAGGGTTAAGGTAATCGCGCCTTCCCCATGGATCCAAGGGTGTTCGAGTAAACAAGAATACACTGGCCGGATATCCATCACATAGAAGGTAGATTCGAAGACCTGCGAACCTACCTTGATTGAAATATCCACTTCCCCGTATACCATCCTCTTTGAACCATCAAAGGCTCTCACCACGATATCACTAGGTTTCAGTATAACCCCTTCATAATCAAGCCTGTCGAGAGCACCTATTGGTAGAACATTTAGTGAGTAACCAGTATCAACCAATACATGAGCTAGAGTAGTGCCCCTGCATTCAATGGAGACATACAGAGCCTTATTGTGGTTTCTTCCCTCAGGAGTCAAGTCAGCATTGAAAAAATCTAAACCATTATTCATTGTTAGACTAGCAACATAACTTCCAAATTGATCGGCAGAAATCTCTTGTGGTTCGTGAGCAGATTTTAAGAACATTACTAAAGCCTGTGCATGGGATTCAGAACACAGTAACAAAGATAACATGAATATTTTAGAAGGGGTTTGTCCCAATTGTTCGAAAATCTTGTAATCACTTTTGCGGATAATTTTTTATACATCCTCCAACTCTTGCCTGGAAGTATCATCAGTGGTGACTTCTTTAGGTGCCCCCGTCTGGGCAGGCTCTGTCATTTGTTCTTTACCCTGAGCCTCAGTAGTTGACCCGGTAGTGGTAAGTCTAATTGGTGTAGCAACAATCTTCAGAGATATCTCCGGAGAGAAAACCCTTCCGCTTCTAGTAA